AAAGGCGAGGAAGGGCGGAGACCTCAGGGTTTGGAACCCGCCGTCTCTAACAGCTGAGAGGCTCGGGGACCGCGAGCCTACACCTCCCACTTGGGAGTCAGAGCACGCGGGCCAGCACCCGGCCGCAGATCCGTAGACTCTATTCCGAAGGGCTTTGCAGTGGGCGGTCTTCGAGCCGCCATCCCCCAAAGCGTGGTGTCACTCAGCCTGTAGCAAATGTCATACGACCTCTATGGGTGTCCGCGAATGCACACACACGTCGGCTCGTTGGTCTAGGGGTATGATTCTCGCTTCGGGTGCGAGAGGTCCCGGGTTCAAATCCCGGACGAGCCCCATCTTTGCACTTTTGTGAAGTTCTACTCTAGCTTACATGCTAGCCCCATTTTTAGGTAAGTCTCACGATTTCTGCTCTCCACCTTCATGGACGCTTGAGGCTGCCGTCAGTTTGACCAGTATTCATCTTAGATTACGGATGACGGGATGAAGGCGGCAGACATTCTGGGTCCTCTTAGAGAGGCAGGACTCATACAAACACGGGTTTGGACAACCTTGGAGACCATCTATGCCTTTCGGTAGCTCCGACCGTATTGGGACTTTCTGGAGACTCTTTCCGTTGTTATCTGTAACGGGCGTGGATTTATGATTACCGTCCTGTGCGGTTGCGGGAAAAGCCATGGAACCCGGAAAAAAGCCTCGGCCTAGAATCCAGATCATGGATCTGAACAAAAGACCTGATAGCTTACTCCTCGTTAGTATAGTGGTGAGTATCCCCGCCTGTCACGCGGGAGACCGGGGTTCGATTCCCCGACGGGGAGAAGATACTTTTTTTTTTTTTGTTTCAAAACGTTTGAGTGATTTACACATTGAATTTCACGTAATTCCAGGAAACACTGGTCGTAGCTTAAAGTTTAAGTGAGCTGTAACTCCCGATTGTACAGGCCAGGTTGAAGCTTTGCTTTGTACCCTGGGCATACGGGTCTGGATTTGCCAAGCAACTCGAGCAGTGTCTGTGGTTTCGACACACCCCGGGTGAGGTACACAGGACTCAGATGGCAGAAGGCTGTGCAATGACCGGGTTGTTGCGGCGTTTCTGGCAGGCCTCCGTGGACTCCCAGGATGGAAGGCAAAGTTCCTTTGAATATCCACTATCGACTTGGCCAACAGGGAAAGGAAAAAAAAAAATCACACAACTGCGTTGGCCGGGAATCGAACCCGGGTCAACTGCTTGGAAGGCAGCTATGCTCACCACTATACCACCAACGCAGGCTGCATTACCCTTAGCCACAATCTTATTTATACTTTCCTCCTTTGTGTGTGTGTGTGTGTGTGTGTGTGTGTGTGTGTGTGTGTGTGTGTGTGTGTGTTTACGAAAGTACGAATATGAAAAACAAAATCCACAAAAGCTAAACGAGATATTTTGGACTTTGGTTATTAGTACAGCTTGGATTAAATGTAAAACTCTGGTTAGGAGTCAGTGACACCATAATGACATTATCTCTAGAAAAACAAACAAATTGCCAAATGTTGAAGTCGCTTCACTGAGTGAGCTTAGGGCGGTCCAAGGCTAAAGAATTTGCCTTTCTGCTAAACGTACTTTACTAAGCACGTTTCATTGTTTAACCATAGTTGTGTGAACACGAGCCTCCTTCAGTTTGAGAACTGTGTGGGCAAAGCCGGAGACCCGCCCAGAGGAAATCCTCCGAGCACACTGCCGATAAGGATTCTGTTCAGGAGACACACCAGCGTGCTGGCGCACAGGGGCCTCGTGGCGCAACGGTAGCGCGTCTGACTCCAGATCAGAAGGTTGCGTGTTCAAATCACGTCGGGGTCACATGTTGTGTTTTCTACTTCTGTGATCTATAAATATTACCTCAAAGGGAAAAAATAATCCCTTTTTTTCTTTTCTCAAAGATGCTAAGTCATGCCTTTACTTTAGTAAATATTTAGATACGCTAATAGTAGTCGTTAGTGAACAGTCCCCCATCTCTTGTTCAGAAAATGTATTTAAGGAAATTAAATGTTCTTTTTTTTTTTTTTTGAAAAACTATAGCAATAGTTAATTACTTTAAAAAGCACTTTTTCGCTTTGAGCTGCTTAATTTATGTTTACTGATGGGGTCCGCAATTTTGTCCTGTTATTTTTGCTCAACATCTGTATGAAAAATATAATTCTATATTCCTTATAATTGGAGAGACAACCTAAAATTTTATGACAGTAATGTAAAGTAAAAGTCATTTTCCTGAAGTTGGACATTTGGCTATCTAATTATTTGCATTTTTTCTTGCTATTTAAAATGTTACAACCAGCTTCACCCTTTTCGCTTGTTAGTTTGGTATGTTGATTTGGGTTTTGGGGTGGTTGTTGGGGTTTTGGGTTTTTTTTGTTGTTGTTTTGTTTTTTAGGTTTCCTGTAGCCCAAGCTGGCCTGGGACTTAGGTAGCTGATCTCTTGGTCCTGCTATCTGCAGCTCCCATGTTCTGACTTTACAGACATTCGTTCCCAGGTCATATTATTTTTCTTGCCTTTACTGAACAAGATCTGTGTCGTGAATTACTTGAATTTCAGTTTTTGATTAAAGGTTTTTCTTAGCTGTCCTACTGTTTTTTAAGAGCTATGAAACTTTTTGTAGCAAAAGTGAACTGAGTGTTTTTCTAGCAAAAGTGAACTAAGTATTGTCTTAGTTAAATTTAAGTCTCGCTGCTGTGTTTTTGGGTGCAGTCGCCAGCTCAGAGCGCCCGTCGCCGTATCTCAGAAAACTGAGAAAATCAAAGATTTTCTGCTCACAGCCCGGGGGGAAGGATGCCCAATCCGTCAAGATCAGGAACAGGGATAGCCTGGAGTTCAAAGTTCACCTCCGCAGGTTTTTACTCCCTGACCATCCGGGAATGGAAGGCCACAGAAGCTGGAGCAGCCCTGGGCCCCTGGTTTAGCTGTTTCCGGAATGAAACAGATTCAGCATTTTACTATAAAAAAAAAAAAAAACCTTGAAAAGTCAAAAATAAAATAAATAAATAAAATTTACATCCAGTTTTTTGTCTTGACATTTGTATTTGATTATTTTGTAATCCTGGCTTGGAACTTACTTGTAAACCAAATTGGCCTTGTACTTACAGAGATCCTCCTGCCTCTCTGCCTTCAAAGTGCTGGGATTACAGGCATGAGTGCGACACCATGGGTAGGTCCAAAATTTTTAAAGTATTTTTTGTCCCCTCTGATGAACTTTGGATGAACACAGAGTATTACATATAAAAGACACTTCTCTCTATACTTCTCACTAGGGGCCTAGAATCACAGATATTTTTGCTACCTTCAGTTTGCTTTTATTTTTTATTTATTTATTTATTTTTGGTTTTTCAAGACAGGGTTTCTCTGTGGCTTTGGAGGCTGTCCTGGAACTCGCTTGGTAGTCCAGACTGGTCTCGAACTCACAGAGATCTGCCTGCTTCTGCCTCCCGAGTGCTGGTTCAGTTTGCTTTTAAAAGGGGAAAAATGCACAGAACAAAAGAAAGAAGTGAAAGAGAAACCCAAGCTAGCAAACTCTTCTTGCCCAACCCACTTCCTCCCACGCCGCACACACACACACAAACACATATAGAAACTCACACACACATACATAAGCAAACACACACACACACACACACATACACACAAGCTTTTCTCCCCAGGCTTCACATCCTGATGCTTTGTCAGTGTGGCAGGGGTTCCTGGTGAGGAATTTGGGCCACAGAATGCTACCCACACAACAGATGCCAAGCAGATTCTTCACCTCACTCCCCTGGGCCTTGTACTGTCTTGAGCCAGGACACTTTGTCACATGGACCAACACCGTGCCATACAGTAGACTAGTCTTGGTTGCAGAAGTTGTATATGCCCAAACTTTGGAACCCCCAAAATAGTTCTGGTCCTTCCCAGGCAAATGAAAATCAGCCCCTGGCTGGAAAACAGGGCAAATGCTCCCTTATGGCCACTCCTAGTGTTAACTGGACCAGAAGAGTCCACACTTAACATTACTCAAGAGATGGAATGAAAATCAAGAGTTAACTCAGTGGGAATTGCTAATTTATAGAACTTGAAAACTGAGTGAATGGCTCACACTGTAGCAATCCTCCTGCCTCAGACTCCAGAGTGGTGGAATTTCAAGCCTGATGTTAGAATTAGAAACATTAAAGGATTTTTAAGAACAAAAGAGTAACGACACAAAGTATTTGCAGGAGAGTGGATTTTTTTGAGTGTGCCTAACCAAGGGATGTAGAACATACTGGTTTGTTTGTTGGTTAGTTTGTTTTGTTTTTTCGAGACAGGGTTTCTTCTCTGTATTGTTTTGGAGCCTATCCTGGCACTCGCTCTGTAGACCAGGCTAGCATCGAACTCACAGAGATCCTGCTGCCTCTGCTTCCCGAGTGCTGGGATTAAAGGTGTGCGCCACTAACGCCCAGTTTAAATATTTAATTTTTTCTTATAAACGAGAAAACAAAAGTGTGAGGATCTTCGGGTACACAGCCTCAGCCTAGGGAAACGAGTGTCTCAATCCGCTCCTTTTTGCGCTTCAACGAGTTACGTCATAAAAACGTAGCCAATGAAAGTGGGTTTTGGTGGCGGCTCAGCCAATGGGCTCAGAGTGGGAGATTTGAAAGTGTCGGGGTCACGGAGCAGTGGGACAGGCCGCTTCAGCGCGCAGACGCCGAGCCGGGAGGAGAGCGGCTGTGCCGTGGGCTCCGGAGGAGCAGGTGGTCCACGGGGTCCGGCTCCGTTGGGCGAGCCACGTGCCAGCCCGGCCGTCTAGAGGGAGGGGTGCAGAGAGGGGCGCCCGGACCTCGGCCTGCGTGCTAATTCGTTTCCTTCCGCCCGCCCTGGCTTGCCCTCCCCGCAGATCTCTGCATCTTCTCCCTGTTTCCCTCTCTGCCCAGCTCTCCTCCGGCTTTTCCTTGAGAATGGCTCAGAAGGAGAACGCCTACCCGTGGCCCTACGGCTCGCAGACGGTAAGGTCCCGGCCACATTCCTCGCCCCACCTCCCTCGGAAGGAGAGTCCTTGGAGGTAGATGGAGGGGCCCTGCCGATAGCTGCCCTCTAAGCGCTTCCGACGTGTTTCCCAAGAGTTGGCTTGCAGAGCCCAGTCTGGTGACTTGCAGCCTGGTCGGATCAGATGTTGCCAACCTGAATCTGAGGGCTTCTGCAGAGCTGAGCCTGCTTGTCACGTACAAATAATAACTGGGACTGAGCAGCAGCAGTGTGCTTTCGGGACGTGAACCCCACCCTCTAGTCTGAAGAAATTAAGTACACAGAAATTAGACTGTAGAATAGTAAGTTACTGTTTAAAAGGTGCAGGACGGTCGAAATATTTATTTGTGAGGCTACATATCAAACATCAAACCCAGGGCCTCAAGTTTTGATGTACTCTTGAGGTACACTCCAACCCTGGAATTTATCTTAATGAGTGGTTGGAGCTAAGGACCCAAATAGATTTGAAATTGTGTGTGCTTGCGTGTGTGCGTGTGTGTGTGCGTGTGTGTGTGTGTGTGTGTGTGTGTGTGTATCAATGCATGGGCCAATCTATACTGATATCACTGGGGGAGGTTTGTAGGACCCTGGGGCCTTCTCTTGGCTGAAGAAATGAGCCAGTGAGCACGATAGTGCACACCTGTAATGAGCGTGGCAAGCTAATGGGACCTTGAGCCCTCCAACAAAATGAAGAGCTCTTCAGTCTGTTCCCAGTTGGTGGAACCTTGACTTCCTGGACAGTCCATCTGTTTCCTTCCGGCATGAAGCACCGAGTAAAACCGGTGTCTGAGGGAGACACCACTGTTACATTTACCCTGGTCTCTATCAAACGGAGTAATCTAGTACTCAGCGAAGTCTGAATATGAAGAAGTGGCCCCAGCCCTTCAGCGTCCCTCTGGTGTTGCAACTTCATGAGCTCAGGCTCTTAGGTGAGCCTGGCTGAGTGTGGTGATGTGTAGAGCTATCCAGACTGGACAGTGCTGTGCTGGAGCAGGTGGTGTGGGCCAGGGCCAGGTGACTTGTTAGGTGCCAGAGGGAATCTTCTCCCCTTGTCTTGCTTTTTTTTCCCCCTCATTCCTTTTGCTTTTTGGGGGGGGCGTGAGGGTGATGTTAAAACGAGACCTTATTTAGCTTACACTGACCTTGAACTGACTTTCAGGGGTTGTCTTTAACTCCTGATTAGGGGTCTCCACCTCCTAAGTGCTGGGGTTACAGATGTGTGCCAGAACACTGGGGACTCGGATTGTTTCTTAACAACCCATTTCTCCTGGAGCACTGAGCAGAACTCTGGAGGTTGGTAGTCAAACCATAGAGTATCACTATTCTTTAAACTATGAGGTAGCTGAATTGCTGCTTATAGTGCATTCCAGCTAGACCACGGGGACAAGGACATCCTCAGAGCTTCCCCTTGCTCCTTAGTCTCACTCAGGCCTGAACACCCTGCCCCAGAGAGTCCTGCTGAAGGAGTCTGCTGTGACATCTGCACTTGCCCTCATGAACCGGTCCAACGGCCAGTCCACAGGTACCGGGGACACTGGGGAGGGGATTGGGCCAAGGGGGGCCAGAGAGGGTATAAGGTGATAATGTCAGAGGAGGAACTCAGCATGCCTGCTCTCTCCTTAGCTGCCCCTGGCCAGAAGTTGGCTGAGAATGTCAGTCGGGGCTCCAATGCCTTGTAAGTACCCAGAGCAAGTAGGGGAACTTAAACAGAGGTGAGGCTGAAATGGGGGAGTTAAAGGGAACAGGGGTAGAGAGAAACCAAACACCTTAGAATCTGAGCCAGCCAGCACTGAGCTAGCTGTCCCCCCCACTTTTCTTATCAGGCCGTCCCTCACTATTGACGACTTTGAGATTGGGCGTCCTCTGGGCAAAGGCAAATTTGGAAATGTGTACTTGGCTCGGGAGAAGAAAAGCCATTTCATCGTGGCGCTCAAGATCCTTTTCAAGTCTCAGATTGAGAAGGAGGGAGTGGAGCACCAGCTTCGCCGAGAGATCGAAATCCAGGCACACCTGCAGTATGCCGCTCACCCCCGGCCCCTCTGCCAGCCTGATCACATCCCTGTTTCTGCGATCCCAACCCTGCCTTACTCCATCTGGACCACCTGCCCAGCTCTTCCGTATAATCCCACCCTGATGTCTGCCATCTGTCCTGTCTCCTAGATGCAAGCTGAAACTTCCTTTCTCTTTGCCCCAGACATCCCAACATTCTTCGGCTCTACAACTACTTCTATGACCGTCGTAGGATCTACTTGATACTGGAATATGCCCCAAGGGGGGAACTCTACAAGGAACTACAGAAGAACCGAACTTTCGATGAGCAGCGGACAGCCACGGTCAGGGCCGGGTGTGGGGCATGGGGCTGGGGCTGGGGCTGTTGCTGGGAGTGGAGGCCTGTTTGACCTGTGAACCCTCATAGATCATGGAGGAGCTGTCGGATGCGCTGATGTACTGCCACAAGAAGAAAGTGATTCACAGGGACATAAAACCTGAGAACCTGCTCTTAGGTCTCCAGGGCGAGCTGAAGATTGCGGACTTCGGCTGGTCTGTGCATGCTCCCTCCCTGAGGTATGGTGGGGCTTGAGGACTGTCCCTAGTGTGAGGCTGTGACATTCTGTGTACAGCTCTTCTTCGTCTTTTTCCTTGGGATGGGGTTTGCCTCCATGCAATATAGATGTAGCGATATCTTTACAGAAACAGGTGACAATAATTCATGCTCGACATTTTCTACTCTTTCTATTAAATATAGTGGGCTCTCTCTCGCCATGTCATTGTGGAGACTCTCATACGATTGATTGATTGATTGAAAGATTGAAAGAAACAGGGTCCTAGGAAGCACAGAATGACTTCAAACAACTATATAACCAAAGATAACCTTAAATTTCTGATCATCTTTGCCTTTACCTCCAAATATAGCAGTTACAGTCATGTATCACCATGTCAAGTTTAACCCTGCCAACCCTGTTTTAAGGAGATATGGCCTCACTGTGTTACCCAGGCTGTTTTTGAAGGCCCTGCTGTACATGAGTATCTGGTATCACAGGCATACGCTGACATGCCTTGTTTACCCATGTCACATTTTATTTGGTTTGGTTTGGTTTTACAGTGTTGAGGATGGAACCAAGGGCATTGTCTATGCTAGGCAAATGATCTCTCACTGAGCCACATCCCTCAGAGCTGCTTCCCAGTTTTTAAACTGTTTGGTTTTTTTGAGACAGTGTTTCTCTGTGTAACCCTGGCTGTACTGGAGCTCAATTTGTAGACCAGGCTGGCAGCCTCAACTCAAAGAGCTCCACCTGCCTCTGCTTCTTCCTGAGTGCTGAGATTAAAGGTGTGTGTCACTATTACCTGGCCTCTTCACAGTTTGGTTTTTAATAAGCATTGGTGTTTTGTCTGCATGTGTGTCTGTGTGAGGGTTCAGATCTTGGAGTTATAGACAGCTGTGAGCTGCCATGTGGGTGCTGGGAATTGAACATTGGTCCTGCAATCTTTTTTGTTTGTTTTTCAAGACAGAGTTTCTCTGTGGCTTTGGAGGCTGTCCTGGAACTAGCTCTTGTAGACCAGGCTGGCCTTGAGCTCACAGAGATCCGCCTGCCTCTGCCTCCCAAGTGCTGGGATTAAAGACGTGCACCATCACTGCCCCGCTGGTCCTGCAGTCTTAACTGCTGAACCATCTCTCCAGGCCTCTTCTTCACAGTTTTTAGACAAAATTTTACCCTGTAGCCCAAGCTGACCTCAGACTGACAATTTACCTCAGACTCCCAACTAAGCCAGAGACAGTGGTTTATGCCTTTCAATCCAGCCCTAGTGAGGCAATAGAAGGTAGATCTCTCTGAGGTTAAGGCCAGTCTGGTCTACTTAGTGAGTTCCAGGCCAGCTAAGGCTATATTGTAGAGAGACCCTGTATCAAGAGAAACAAAACAAAACTTACCAAGGATTGGGATTAGAGGTGTACATCACAGTATCTCGTGACCCCATCTTTGTTTAACGCTTCATGGTATTGCACAGTAAAACTATAATTGACTTATTTAAGTAGTGTGTGTTTGGTGAATGTTAGAGATGTTTTCTGTTTTTTCTTTGAAATGAGCATTGTCCTACTGTCAAGTAAAGAGAAGAGTGGCTGATTTCTGAGGCCCTACCCACTTCCTTATCCCATCAGGAGGAAGACCATGTGTGGCACCCTGGACTATCTGCCCCCAGAGATGATTGAGGGGCGCATGCATAACGAAATGGTAGACCTGTGGTGCATCGGGGTGCTCTGCTATGAACTGATGGTGGGGAACCCACCCTTCGAGAGCCCTAGCCACAGTGAGACATATCGTCGGATTGTCAAGGTAGGATACCCACCAGGGCTCTATGCACTGGGGAAGCCAGGGTCTAGGGTGGGCAGGGTGGATTTATAGGGCCCTGCAAAGCCTCCCTATTTCATGAGTAGTTCTTATGTATTCCCTGACAACTTCAGACATATGTACAGTGCACCTTGATCACACCCCCGCTCCTTTCCCACACATGCCCCACCCACGGCATGTCCTCTCTCTGTTTATAGCCCCCCCCGAGAAAGCTCGTGCTGCCTGCAGGAGTCAGGTAACATAGTCAGGGTAGCACAGGTGGGACCTTTCTCGCTTCTTCATCTGCAGGTGGACCTGAAGTTCCCACCTTCTGTGCCTGAGGGGGCCCAGGACCTCATCTCCAAGCTGCTGAAGCACAAGCCCTCAGAGCGACTGCCTCTGGCCCAGGTCGCAGCTCACCCTTGGGTCCGGGCCCACTCTCGGAGGGTACTGTCTCCCTCTGCCTATTAGCCTGGTTCTGCATTTTTGTCCCTGTTGTTTGCTCGGTTTTGTTTGTATATTTGTGTGTGTGTTGGGGGGAGGGAAGGGTTGTTCACAACTATCCCCAGCTCCCTTCTAGGGAATCTGACCCGTCTTCTGACCTCCACAGGCAAAACCAGGCACATAAGTGGTGCACATACATGCAGACGAAACATATATAAAACAACAAAAAACAGTACTGGAGAGGTGGCTGAGCTTGGCTGTTTTTCCAGAGAACCAGGAGCAAGTCACATTACCACATGATGCTCATAACCACCTGTAGGCACGGATGTGACACACATATATGCAGACAGCACACCTAGACACAGTGTGTTACACATATATGCAGACAGCACACCTATACACAGTGTGTTACACATATATGCAGACAGCACACCTAGACACAGTTAGTGTGTCACACATTATGCAGACAGCACACAGTGTGTCACACACATATGCAGACAGCACACAGTGTGTCACACACATATGCAGACAGCACACCTATACACAGTGTGTTACACACATATGCAGACAGCACACCTAGACACAGTGTGTTACACATATATGCAGACAGCACACCTAGACACAGTGTGTTACACATATATGCAGACAGCACACCTAGACACAGTTAGAATTTTAAGGAGCCATACAGTCTGATTTCTTTCAATTTGCCAAATGTTAAATGTTATTTTAAAATACCGTAAGTCAAAAGTGGATTAATCCAGTTTATCGATGAAACATGTTTAGCCAAGCCTATCTTAAAGTCAGAAAAATTATGTAGCACAAAGTATATTTTATAATAAAGTCTTAAATATTCCATGTTTTTGAATACGGTCTTGAAAGTAAAAAGTGGTGGTTACACTGAGGCAACATTGTGAAGCCAAAAACCCAAGTTAGCTTGGCGTGTCAGTACATGCACTCAGGGGGCTGAGTCAGGAGAATCACCATAAGTCTTGAGGACATCCTGGCCTACATGTCAAGTTCCAGGACACACAGTGATGCAAGTAAAACCTTTGCCTGCTCTTGGGACTCTCTTCCTCCTGTTGGGCTGCTGTGTCCAACTTAAATATGGAAGTTTTTGCAGAAGGGAACAGAGGAGGATACGAAGAACAAAGCACTATGGGGCTGGATTCAACAGCTAAGAACTCAGATTTGGTTCCAAAGAACTCAGGTTAGGCAATTCACAACCAAATGCAACTCCTCCGTGGGATCCGACTTTTTATGGCTTCCACAGGCACCCACGTGTGTGTGTACACATTCACATGAATTTAAAAAAAAGCATAATGATATACATGTTTGAAAATGCCACAATTAAGTCTATTTATTATATTCTAATAAACTATAGTTTTAAGGAAATCCACAATTTGGTCAAAGTCTTCAGGAGCCAGTCATTTGCCCCAGACCCATCAGCTAGCAATCAAAACCCAGAACATGACTGTTTGGGGACATCAAAGGTTCAAACCATAGCACGCATCCTATCTATGGACATTTAACCAGTTGGTGGTGATGCACACCCTTAATCCCAGCACTTGGGAGTCAGAGGCAGCAGGCAGGTCTCTGAGATTGATGGTGGGTTCCTGTTTAACACAATTTCTGGCTCTCAGCCTTGACCGTGTTGTAGGATTTGCCATGGATGGAATCACACTGGAACATAAGTATGTAGTTGAGGTCAGTGATGCCTGTTTTATCAAAGTGGAAGACAGCCCCGGTGAACAGGTGCCCAATACCGCCAAATCCATTCCCTGTGACCTTTACTGTTCTCAGGGCCAAAGGGTCAAGTCAAGGTGAAACTGTATGAGAACATCTGGAACAGAGAAAGAAAAGTCCGAGTGTGTGCCCATGTGGCTCGAACCATGGCTCTTACGTGGAGGTCGGCGGACAAGTTCCCTCCTTCTACGTGGGCCCCGGGGATTTAACTCAGGCCGTTGGGCTGCTAGTTGCCCACACCTCATAATCAGCTCTATGTTGCGGTAAAAAAACTATTCATTATTCTGAACACACGAAAGTAAAGCTGCAGGTTTGGGCGTGGCGCCTCCAGCCTGAATGCTAGCACAGGAATTACTGTGCGCTGTGTGACGGTTGCTCAGCCCCACATGAAGGCACTACATTCTGCCACTCTGGAAAGGCAACAGAACTTAAAACAAATTGGTGAAAAACTAGCCGACAAGATCAGTGAGACAAATGGCAGCACATGTTGTTGAGCATCAGGGGAAAAGAAAACACTCCTTGCTGGTGGGAGGGCAAACTTGTACAGCCACTGTGGAAATTAGCATAACAGTTCCTCAGGAAGCTGGAAAGCAATGCACCTCAAGATCCTGCTATACCACTCTTGGGCATATACCCAAAGGAGTCTACATCCTACTACAGGGACATTGGCTCATTCATGTCCATTCATAATAGTTAAAAACAGCCTAGCTGTCCATCAGTTAATGAATGCATAATAGAAATGTGATTTTTACACAATGGAATAGTATCCAGCAATTAAGAAAAAAGATTATGACATTACAGGTGAATGAATATAGCTAAGAAAATAATTCTGAGTGGCATAACCGAGGCCCAAAAAGACAAAGATTGTTTTCTCCTTTCTTTTTTTGTTTTTTCGAGACAGGGTTTCTCTGTATTGTTTTGGAGGCTGTCGGTCCAGGGTCCAGCCCGGCCTCGAACTCCCGAGTGCTGGAATTAAAGGCGTGCACCACCACCGCCCAGCAAGACATTTTTTTGTCTTAGTCTTTTGCTTGGTTTTGATGTTAACTGTTGTAGCTTTTTGGTGTTTCTTGCTTTGCTTTTGTTCCTTATTTTATTTCGCCTGCATGTATGTCTGTGTGAGGGTGTCAGATCTTGGAGTTACAGACAGTTGTGAGCTGCCATGTGGGTACTGGGAATTTAACCCAGGTCCAGCAATCAGTGGTCTTAACTGCTGAGCTCTCTCCAGACCTTTTGCATTTATATTTATCTATTTATTTGCTTGTTTGTTTGTTCATTTATTTATTTTGAGGCACAGTTTCTCTGTGTAGCCCTGGCTGTTCAAGAACTCATTCTGTAGAAAGACTTGCCTTGAACTCACAGAGATCCTTCTGCTTCTGCCTCCCAAGTGATGGGATTAAAAGTGCGCCTCACCATCAAATCACCTGGCTTGTTTTTATTTTTTTAAAGGAGACCATACAAGTTGAGTGGATAGGGAAATGGGAAGAATCTGGGAGGAGTGGGGGAGAGAAGACGCGATTAAAATATATTTTATTAAATTTTTTTCAATAAAAGAAAATCTATTGATAGAGAGACAGAGACACAAAGGGAGAAAAAGCCAAAATGTACACTGTCACACCAAATGTCATCTTATTATTTGAACTTAAAAACCTATTTTGGTGGTGGCAAGACATTCCTTTGGAATGTTTTGCGATTCCTTGGATTATGGTTGAAAAAAAAAAAGAACTCAAAAGACTTGCAAAAACTGGGCAGTGGTGACGCCCACCTTTAACCTCAGCACCTGGGTAGCAGAAGCAGGAAGATTTTTGAGGTGTTCGAGGTCAGCCTGGTGGTCTACAGAACGAGTTCTAGGACAGCTAGGGCTGTTATACAGAGAAACCCTGTCTTAAAACAACAACATCACCAATAGCAAGGAAAACAAGAACAGAATAAGGACAATCAGGGTGCAAGGGATTGCAAAGGTCAATGTTGGTGCTGGCAAAAACGGGAAGTAAAGACTGCAATGGTGATCAGCGGTGATTGTACAAACTAAACTCTTCACATAGGGTTCCATCTTAAAATCAGGAACAATCACACCTATTATAAGACAAGGAAAAATGTTAATAAAGACCCAGAGCTTCGGTTGTATTTTTGCAGCTGACAACTTTTCAACCAACAGTTTGCCCAGGGAAAAAAAAATCTCCACCCGCTACGGAAACTACAGTGCCCTGCGAGATGTAGCCCCTGTCTGAATCTTGGTCTCGATGTTGGAAATTCTTTTCCTTCTCATTCATTTTAGTCCCAGTGTCTTCTGTTTCTTCCTCAACCCCGTGCCCCAACGCTTCTTGTTTATCTCAAACATCTTTGCTTCTGAGGTTCAGGAAAGCCGCGCTCCTCCGCCTGCAAGATGGCTTTGACGGTCTTCATGGCTCTTTGCATCTTCCCTTCAGAGGCCTTTCCTGACCGAGGCCTCATCTAACTACACCTACTTACTCTCAATTACAGCCCTTTGTGCCCCGCCCCCCGCAGAGGGTTTATTTCCGATCTTTTCTCTTGTGACAAAACCACATATTATCCTCCAATGAGAGAAAGCTCTACGCAGAGGGGACAGGAGGCCGGGGAGTGAAAAAAGCACAGCGAAGTCTACAGCGAGACTCTGGGTGATTCAACGACCAGGTCTGTCTACGTCTTCAGGATGGAACCAATCACTCATGCTCAGCTGAGAATTCTGGCTTGAAAGTATTCCATCCCAAGAACCTCCAGCAATCCCAAGAACGACCCCCAGTTAGGTGTGATTGCGAGGCAGTAATTCTGGGCCACCACACCGCCGTGGACGCAGCGTCTGGCTCCGCCCCCGGGACTCCGGGCTTTCAGGATTTGGGTCTTTTAAGATCCGCCCCGGCAACAATCCGAGAGGGCGGGGCGAGCAGCACAGCTGTCACATCCGAGCCGCTACCCGACTGGCTTTCACGTGTGTTCTGCAGGTCCATAACAGCTCCTCGTCCGGAACTTCCTGGGGTGGCGACCAATCACGGAGTCCTTCCTGTCCGTCCCATTATCAGCCGGCTGCCAATCGGCGCGCCGCCGCCCACGCCCCTTAAAGGCGCCGCCGCTGCCGCGGAGCCGGGCGAGCGACTCGAGGTTCCGGCCCCCACCCGCAGTATGGAGGCCGCCCCGGGGCGGCTCGGGCCGGAACCGGACCTTTCGGCCTTAGCCGACCCTCAGGCCGCGACTTTCAGCGGCAAGCCGGGCCCAACGCCCTCGAAGCCGCCCTCAGCCTTAAGGGTGTCCGGGGAGGAAGAGGCTGAGAACGTTGGGGTCGCGAGCCGTCACCCACGAGCGTCCCTGAGGACGTCGAGCGGTAGCATCGTCCACCGGCCGGGGCTGGACGCTTGGGAGGACCAGCCGGGCCTCCGGGCGACGCCGTCAGGACCCGGGGACCGCCGGGGACCCGCAGGTTCTGAGCACGCCCCGCCCCCGTCCTCCTGGCACCAGGAGCCCGAGCCCGGCGAGAACCAGCCTTCCGCCCCGAGGGTCTGCCGTCGAGGGAGCCCCGGAGGCGTCGAGATGAATGCGGAGCCGCCGCTGCAAGAGAGTGAAGACCACAGCGAAGAGGAGGAGGCGGCGGGCAGGGCTGGCCGCTCGTTCCCCAGCCGCCTTCAGGACAGCCGCAGCCTGGACGGGCTGAGTGGGGCGTGCGGCGGAGGGGGAACCTCAGCGAGCGGCGAGGCCGGCGCGGGCGGGGGACGTCGCGCCACCATCTCCAGCCCCCTAGAGCTCGAGGGCACGGTGAGCCGCCACGGCGACCTCACCCACTTTGTCGCCAACAACCTACAACTCAAGATCCGACTGAGTGCCGCCCCACCGCCCCTTCCCCCTGCCGCCGTGCGGCCCTGCCTAACGCCCGCACCCACTCCCACTATTCCTCCCATCGACCCCGACGTGCTGAGGGATCTGGAGCGGCTGAGTCGCGAGCTGGGCGGCCGGGTGGACCGTCTGCTTCGCGGGCTGGGTGGTGCGGTACAGGAGCTGACAGCCTTGAGCGTGGGCTGTATCCAGACCTACCGCGACGCGGTGGATTCCTTAGGCGAAGCGGTGGACATGAGCATCAAGGGCATGTACACCTTGCTTGCGCGCTGCGAGGAGCTGGAACGGGCTCTGCAGCCGGTTCAGGGGCTGGCACGCCAAGTCCGAGATATCCGACGCACTCTGGAGGTGTTGGAGGCCCTGTGCAAGTGAGCAGGAGGACAGATGAGAGGCCATGCCTAACCTGGCCGGGCCAGGGTCCAGTAAGACCCTAAAGATTTTTCGAGGAGCCCTGGTGGAAACCGCCTGCAGAGGGGAGGCCTGTGTGTTAAGGGTCTTCCACAGCATAAGGAGTGCGAATGGGGAAGTTGTAAAGATTTTCCTGTGGGACGGGATGTAGCTCTTCTATTCAGTTGGCCATCTGTAGCTACCCTGTACTTCCTCTTCTCCTTAGCTAGAACGCCATCCTTTGGGAACAAAACCCTTAAATCTCTTCTGGGGAGTGGGGCAGACCCCCACGTTTGATGAGAACAGAAGCAGCCAGAGGCCGCTGTGGCTGTCCTGATTCCAGTGATCAGACCTCAAGTGCCGGGTTCTTTAGGAGGCTGAGTGGTGCTTGGCCACACACCCTGCAGGCAAGGGCGCACATCTGCAGACGCATAACCTCCTGCTGCGTCCCTCTGGTCCCCTAAAACGCCACGGGGTGGAGCTAACAGGAGCACATTTCATGGTGGAGGGGCGAGTTGGAGGTGACTCACTGCTCTCTGTTCAGGTAGAACTGCTGCTGGTTTTGAAGCCCACCTGTTGTGGAGTATTCTAATCAGTTTTGGCTTCCTGAGTTTTGTGGAATTAAAATGCCATTGCTGCTAAGGTTGAGCCTGGTTTTGTGTGGGTTTGGTTGAAGGGGTTGCCAAGCCAGAGGAATGGGAATGAAGGCTGGGGTGGTTCATGGGGCTCTATGGGGGTGGGAACTGGGAGTGTTCGGGAGAAAGTCTCAGACTAGATGGAGAAGATTCTGGTCATGCGTCAGATCTGAAGGAGATAATTACACAAAGGGCCCAGAGAGCCACCTGAAACAAACAAGGGTCTTTGGAAGAGGGGAAGGGCTTTTCTGCTCCCGACAGACAGGTAGATGCTGGGTAGACTGGTTGTCTTAGTGATGGAGGAAATATAAAGTCCTCACAGCACGGTCCCTGACTCTGCAAATCAGAGTCGTATAATGATTTGAGACAATTGTGTCCCAATCACAAAGGCTGTCTTCTCTTTACAATTTACAGAGTACACTCAGGAACTACGTGTTATGATCATAGAATCTCCAAGATCACAAAAGTAACATTTCCTGCACCCCAAGACACTCCCACATTTTGGACATATTCCAGAATATTTGTTTAGTTCAAATTGTTTCAGGATTAGAAATACCGCTCTATGGAGTATTCTTAGATGCCTGTTTTAGAAAAATCATTAGAACTACTAATACCACCTTGTTAAAAAGGAATAAAATTCAAGTCAGGAATAAAACTGAGAATTCCATACCTTCTATTAATTGCAGCGAGAAAAAATACGTATTGGCCCGTACGGGGATCGAACCCGCGACCTTGGCGTTATTAGCACCACGCTCTAACCAACTGAGCTAACCGGCCAGCCGTTGGGGTGCCCCTATTTTTAAGTCATGTAAATGGAAAGCTATTCACACTAAACAGGAAAATCTTATTTTCAAGCCATTTTGGAAAACACAATATTCAAAGTAGTGAAGTGAATACTTAAAATACCCAATCAAGGTACAATTCTGACAAACCCGGGTGACGCGATTTTGGCACCTGATTGCCGGCCAGGGCATAAATATTATGTTCAAGAAGGGTCAAGATAGTGTAGCACCAACTCCCAAATACAAAATTATCGGGACGGCAAAGAATGGATCGACGTTACATTCAGGTTTCAAGATGTGTTGGAACTTTTCTAAGTTCCTAAAAGCAAAACACAGAGGCACCGCTGGGATTCGAACCCAGGATCTCCTGTTTACTAGACAGGCGCTTTAACCAACTAAGCCACGGCGCCCACATGACAGTGTGACACCTTCACTACTTGGCCAGGTCAATTCCAGGGCAGACAACCAGGAAATATTTCTTGCCAGTGCTAGAAAATGCAGCTGAAAGGACTGAAAACATAACGGGATAATGTGTTGTGAAGACTCCGAATTTATAGAAATCATTGTACTTAAATTATAAAACTGAATGTAGTTCTCAACAAGCTACACCCGACGAGGATGGGATTCGAACCCACGCGTGCAGAGCACAATGGATTAGCAGTCCATCGCCTTAACCACTCGGCCACCTCGTCCCCATAGCTAGGACTATAGGTTAGCTTCTTTGAGACCTGAACCTTTACTCCTTACTAAGGTAGTCCTTTCTGCGCTTCGGTCTGTAACCGAAGGGCGCACTCGCAGAGCAGTAATGCAGCCGGGAACACTGAATGTTTCAACTGCGGCTGGATGCCCTTGAGAGTCCTGGATTATGCGCAAAAATACTCAGGGCGGCGTCAAGATTTGACTCCTGAGCTTCCCATTCTTGTTCTTTAAGAGATGGTCCTTCTTTGATCATTGGGACAAAACTAAGGGAAACTAAAATTTCTAGAAAAGGAGAAGCTGACCCCGACGTGATTTGAACACGCAACCTTCTGATCTGGAGTCAGACGCGCTACCGTTGCGCCACGAGGCCGGCCGGCCACGTTTTTGTACAGGTCTCCCCATGGCTACTATGGGAAGGCTTCCTCTTCCTCCACACTTCCCACACGCCCCCACATTCACCTCCAATTTTTTTTTTTTAATGTTTCTGGAGACCCAAAGAATACATAGAGCCTCTCTCTCCCCTTGGAGGAAGCGCCATAATCTGAATTTAGAGCAAGCAGCTTCACACCTCGGGCTCCATGGCCTCCCACCCGGTCCCTGGATGCTTGTGAAAGGAGATCAATGGTACTTCCCCCCTCCCAAAGGCAAGCCTTGGCCTGCTTTTCCATTATCACACTGCTAAGGCCTGGTCTTAACTGGATCCAGACGGACAGCGGTTTATTGGCCTTCACCCCCCATTGTCTGTCTTCATCTTAAAAATTCTTTCACCAGAGGTCTGTCTTCTCTCCTTAGACCGCAGCGTGCAACATTCCCTCGCTCTCAGCTGTCCACACGCAGGGCTCCTGATGCTGCTCACAGACCCCGGTGTTGGCGCCTATGGACACCTCCCCTTGACTAGCCATTTCTTCTCAGTCTTCTGCTCGTGCCATGCCAGGCAGGCCAAGGTGAAATGGGGGAAGCTTCACTCTTCCCTCTTCCTCACACCCGGCTTCCAGCCCCCAGACCGTGTCTGTTCCATTCCCTTAGGAGTCCATTCTCTCAGTCTCCCGGGCTGGCTTGATATCTCAAGCTCCTCTCTGATCCCCTATGCCCCAGAAGGTCCTCCATCATCCACTGTCTTAAAATCACAGGCTCTTTGACGTCGGGATTAACGCTTGTCTTCTTGGGTTTACAGAATAAGGAAGTTGAATTGTTAACGCTTGTGGGCTCGTCACATTACAATTTGTGTTTAGGCTACTTAGTATACCTCAATAGTTTCTGTTTGTTTTGCTTTCGAGATAGGGTTTCTCTGTGTAGCCTTGGCTGTCCTGGAACTCGCTCTGTAGACCAGGCTGGCCTCGAACTTAGAGATTCCCCCAGCCTCTGCCTCCTGAGTGCTGGGGTTAAAGGCATCCAACACCACTGCTGATCGGCTTATCATTTAGTCTTTACTGATAAATTATTTGGTTTTAGAAGAAACAACGAGGGGCCCATGCTTTTAATCCCAGCCCTCAGGAGGCAGATGCAGGGATTTCTGTGAGTTGGAGGCCAGCCCGGTATATATAATGAGTTCCAGGCAAGCCAAGGGTCATGTTGTGGAACCCTTTCTCAAAACAACAACAGAAAGAAGCAAACTTTTATTTTCTAGTAAATAATAGTAAGTAAAGAATAAAGACCTGGGTGTGACAAGCCTCAAAATACAGGCATTAGAGGAAGGTGAGGCAGAAGCATTTCAAACTCAAGAACAACATGGGTTACTTAGTGAGACATTGTCTAGAAAAGAAAACCAAACCCCTGATGTGGTGCACCAGCGCTACAGTCAACATCAGTTCAAGGCCACCCTATGCCTTATTTCAAGCTTTAGAATAGTTTGTTTGTTTTTGATGGAGGAGTAAGCCAAAACTAATAAAATGTTTTATGTGTAATAAAAAATGAAACACAGAGATCTCTAGGTGGCTCTCTTTTGTAGATATTTGCTTTTGAATCATGTAAGTGTTTAATATAAGTATAAAATGAAATTGAAAAGTTAAGATGGTGGCCTGGCACATACACTTGGCGCAGATCACGTGCCAGTTTGCAGGCAGTTCCAGGATGTGCTAGCAGCTGGCGCCTGACCGCCTGTTGGCACTCCCTCTTGAACTGCCCACTCTGTCCCACCGCGTGGGTGGTCGTCTTCCGCATCTTAGGTCTGTCCATTGAGCCTGGAGGAAGTGGGGGAGTTAAAGCAGTCCCTACTGTGTGTTGCAGCAGCCCCTACTGTGGGTCACTGATATCAGAACAGTAGTGGACAGGCTAACCAAAGCATGAAGGCAACCTAGGTTAGAACATCCACAAGCATTGCACCGGTGGGTCTTAATCCCTGACCCAGGCAGGCTCCATCCTTTGGTCTTGATAGAGTTGACTGTTCCCGGAAGGCAGACTCTCAAGTTCAGGGAAATGCATGCATTCTTTTCTGAAGATCAGCACCAAGGGAAGTCGGCAGCAGTGGGGCAGCTCTTTTTCCATGGTGATGTCTGCCGGCTCTAGGACAGGCTGCCAAAGGCAGTCCATTCCTAGCAACCGATTTGGAGGCTAACCCAGTAAATCTAGGGTGCAACTGATGCCCAGCACGTGTTGCCAATAGGCTACAAGCATGTGTTGAATGGAATGCCTGTGCTCAAACTCCAAACTGTTTAAGAAGGAAGCATAGTCCCTCAGGCCCTGGCAGTGCCCCAAGTTCAGAGATGTATATATACTCTTTGGTTCCTTCCTAACAAGGGTGATTTGAACTATCAGATAACATTTGGGGTCACTTTATCTCACCCCCACCCCACATGTGAGTGTGTGTGTGTGAGAGAGAGAGAGAGAGAGAGAGAGAGAGAGAGAGAGAGAGAGAGAGAGAGAGAGTTCTGAAGCCTTTTGAAGAAAACTCATCATGCATAATAGTACCTCTTATGGCCACAGAGTGTCACTAAAACACAGAAACAGCTTTTCTAGGGCAGACTTCTGAGAACCAAGGTCATGGAAAATGACAGGACAGACTTGCTCACTTAGTAACGTGAAGTGTGATTACCTAGTTTCTGCCATCTAGTAGGCCTCTTAGGCTGCAAGCACTGTAGGCAGAAAACCCCAAACTTCCAGTTACTAGAACTCCAGATCCCACAGACAGACCCAGATCTTTTACCTCTAAATATCTCTCCTGGAGGTTGTCATGGCACTTGCCCGTGACCCCAGAATTTGGGAGATTGAAACAGGAAAACTGGCAGGAGTACTCAGTGAATTTCAGGCTAGCCAGAACTACAGAGTGAGACCCTGTCTTTAAACATAAAATTAGTATCTCTTGATCGTTTGATTTGATTCCTGTCCTCCACCTGTTTGATTCCATCTGATTTGAGCCCCAATCTATCCCTTCTAGATGTTTCTTTCATATCTTCCCTCTCATCTTCTATTTAAAATCTATTTTCCATGTTGCAACCAGAGTATTACAAATCTAACTGTGTCTCGAACCATAGCTGCAGAAGCTGAGAGAATTTATCTCTTGTCTCCCCCTTCGGTAGACTTTAGAACCTCTGGCTTCCTCTCTGTCTGCCAGACACAGCCATTGCTCCTCCCTCTGTCTGGAATGCTGTTTCCCCAGATCTCCACCTGGCTGACTCCTGCCTGACCATAGATCTTGGGAAATCTTCAAAATCATGTCCTAGCTTTTTCTTACTCTTCATCCTCTCACTATCATATGCTATGATGCAGTTTCTTTGGCCTGGAAATAGTCCAACTTGTTCAACCTCACAAGTCACAGGCAGAGAGGAGACACGAACTCTTCCATTCCTTCATATTGTCTGTGCCCTAAACATGTTTGCATGTTTTATGCACTCTTAACTTCTATGATGGAGAATAAAAAACAAACAAACAGCAACAAAAAACGCTCATCTCTCATTATTAAAATTAAGGCATTGGTGGCGCACGCCTTTACTCCCAGCACTCGGGAGGCAGAGGCAGGCAGATTTCTGTGAGTTCGAGGCCAGCCTGGTCTACAGAGCAAGTTCCAGGACAGCCTCCAAAACAATACAGAGAAACCCTATCTCGAAAAACAAAAAAACAAAAAGTAAATAAATGTAGGTGGCAAACAAACACCTTTGACCCCAGCTCTCTCTAGAGTGATGGGATTAAAGCTGTGTGCTGATACACCTAGCAATTTATTTATTCATTTATTTAGGTTTTTCGAGACAGGTTTCTCTGTGTGACAGTCCTGACTGTCCTGGAACTCAGTAGACCAGGCTGGCCTAAAACTCACTGAGATATGGCTGCTTCTGCCTCCCCAGTGCTAGGAATAAAGGTGTGTGCCACCACTCACCACTGCCCAGCCTCGTGTGTGTGTGTGTGTGTGTGTGTGTGTGTGTGTGTGTGTGTGTGTGCTCCAAGAGAGCATTGAATCCCCTAGAACTGGAGTTACAAGAGGTTGTACAATATGGGTGATGAGTAACTAAATTTAGAGTATTATGTACTTTTTTTGTTTGTTTCTTTATTTTAAAGTCAGTGTTTCTCTGTGTTAACAGTCCTGTCTGTCCTGGAAGCTGCTTTGTAGACCAGGCTAGCTTCAAACTCACAGAAATCTGCCTGCCTCTGCCTCCTGAGTGCTGTGAATAAAGGCATGTGTTATGTGCTCTTAACTACTGAGCCATCTCTCCAATTTTTGTTGTCGTTGCTGTTTTTTTGGGGGTTTTGTTTTGTTTCGTTTTGTTTTACTGAGGCAGGATCTTACATAGTGCAGTGTGACCCAGAACTTAGTACATAACTGATATCTGACCCTCTTTCTTCCACCTCCAAAATACTGGGATTATAGGTGTTTGCTTCCCTACCCAGTTTAAGATTCGGGTTTTTTTGTTTTTTGTTTTTTCTTCGAGACAAGGTTTCTCTGTGTAGTTTTGTACACCAGGCTGGCCTCTAACTCACAGAGATCTACCTCTGCCTCCTGAGTGCTGGGATTAAAGGCAGTGGCTGGGCAAGATTCAGTTTCATATGAAAAAGTTATTTTATAGTTCCACTATATAGGAGCTTGAGGGGAGCTTAATAGTAAAACACTTGCTTAGCATGGCCCAGACCCTGATTTTGATTCTCAGTGTAGGACACACAAAAGTGTAAATATGTAAGGAGTTAAATAAATAGGAACCTTAATTCTACAAGTTTTATGTTTTAGAATGCTGTTCCGTGCATTAATGATAATACTGTAAGACTCAGAAGGGAGGGTAGGAGTATACCTTAGTGGATAGTGCTTACCTATACACAAGAGGTCTGGAATTTATCTCCAATTCAATGCTGAAAAAAATCAGAAATATTACACTTTTTTTTTTTTTTTTTTTTTTTTTGGTTTTTTCGAGACAGGGTTTCTCTGTGGCTTTGGAGGCTGTCCTGGAACTAGCTCTTGTAGACCAGGCTGGTCTCGAACTCACAAAGATCCGCCTGTCTCTGCCTCCCGAGTGCTGGAGAAATATTACACTTTTACAATGCTATTATCTAAGTTACAAACCCTATACAAAATTTTCCTAGTGTTCCACTATGGTCTTTTATAATAAAAGTGTGAGGAGGGTCCTTTTTAAATCTGGTTTGGGATCTCATGTGTGTGTGGGGAGAATCCTTTTACCTGGTTTGGGATCTCATGGGGGGGGGGAAGAGTCCTTTTACCTGGTTTGGGATCTCATGTCATGTCAGATTTGTCCCATTCATTCAGAAGAACTCCTTAGTCTATCTTTCATAACCTTTAAAATATTATGATTTTTTCACTCATTGGATTAGGAAAAGGAAACCCATTTATTACTTTAGGAAGACAAACATTTCTTCTCGGTTTTGACCAGTTACTTAAATTTAGGAATTATCTGTTTTCAAATCTCTCCTTTGATATTATTCGTGTTACCATTTTTAGTTATAACACCCACTACCTTGCAGGGCTTTTTTTTTTTTTTTTTTTTAATGTTTGCTACCTGTCTCCCTCCCTAGAATATAAACTGGAGGGAGGGACTTTAGTTTATATGCCAACGTACTCCGAGAGTCAAGCGCAGTGCCTGGCATTTGGGAGCCGCCGTCAATAAAGATTTGTTGAATAAATTAAATCAGAAACAGCTCTAAGCCTTGTCTTTTAGGCTGGCTATAGGCACAAGAAAAGGACTGGAGAGCTGCGAATGGGCTGGCTGGGAGGTCCGGTGATAATGGAACTCAATTGTGAACCGGGAAGGTGGTGAGAGCTTCCCAATGAGCAGCGATTTCATTCGAAGACCCGATCAGTCAGGTCGCCCTAGTAACAGGGTCTTGGTCTGTAACTGAGCGATGTCTGGGGCCTGACACCTCAAATGGAGCGTGAAACTGACGCCGGGTCAGCATTCCAGCCTGGGTTAAGCCTCCCAGGGACTCTAAGCTGTTCCAATCCATCGCTCCATTCCACACCCTTTCTGATCCCCTCGCTTCCGGAAGCACTCACCTCCCCCACATCCTATCCTAACCGCCCCAAGGCTGAGCGTTTCTGCACTGGACAAATCCCTCATCAAACTGAGACAAGTCTTCTGGGGAAAAATGAGAGTCATTCTTCGGGGTCTGGTCTGGGGAGGGGGGGTCCTTTGACAACCAGGGGTCGGGTGATGTGACGTGACTGCGGGACAAGTTCCGCACTTCCTCCCCTCCCTGTTAGTTCCCTCATCTCCTCGTGCCCAGAGAGTGGGAAGCAGAGGAGGGACGATTTGGTGGTTCCGGGTACACTCCCCGGTGGGTCCACTCCTTCGCACACACCAGGAGGTTGAGCATCCTTTAGGTACCCGGCCTACAGACGGCGGCCCAGGGCGAGGCGCTCTCGCGAGACTTCCGGAAACAGCTGCGCGGCGCCTGCGGGCGCAATTACCATGGTAACTGGGCGGCGCCTGAGCGCGCGGGAAGGAGGCTTAAACCGAGGGAGAGGTCCGGCCTGCTTGGTCCTGGACACTTGAGAAGTAACCAGCCTCAGACTGTCAGCCTCCGCTCTCGGTCCCCGAGGCCATGGGGCGGGTCTCCGGGCTCGTGCCCTCTCGGTTCCTGACGCTCTTGGCTCATCTAGTGGTTGTCATCACTTTATTCTGGTCCCGGGTAAGACTCGGGCGGGACGCGCGAGCCCTCCGTCCCCTCCCGTTCTCCTGGACTGGACCCGGCTCAGCTCCTCCACTGGCTCTTTCCGAGTCCGTTGCGCCCGGTCCCCGGCCCCTCCCCGACCTGTCCCCGCAGCCCTGTCCCTCTTTTGATTTTGCTTTCTTTCGGCCCGGCTCACCAGGAAAGCAACATCCAGGCTTGCCTGCCTCTCCAGTTCACCCCGGAGGAATATGAGAAGCAGGACATCCAGTGAGCTCTTGGGGCGGGGTGAGAGTGCAGGGGTCTACAAAGACTTCCGAAACCCTGATCAACCCCTTTGCTTTCTGCAGACTGGTGGCAGCGCTCTGTCTCACCCTGGGCCTCTTTGCGGTGGAGCTAGCTGGCTTCCTCTCAGGAGTTTCCATGTTCAACAGCACCCAGAGCCTCCTCTGTATCCTTTCAGCCTGCCCAGCGTTCCATCCATTCTTCCCGCCTCTTCAGACCTTTTGGGCACAAGTCTCTGCCCAGGTGGTAAACCGAACCACTCTAGGTGAGAGGTCTTAGTCACTGTGGGGATTAAATAGTCTTATAGCATTTGTTAAACCCTGTTAGGAACCAGGTTCTGGCATCCTCGGATGGGAGTAAGCCATTCTCCCCGATTGAGGGAGAGGGAGGTACATTATGCTGTAGAGTGTGCAAAATACAAAGCAGTATGAGAACTCAGAAGGAACCAGGAAAATGAAGCTCAAAGGTTTTTGATGGCCGGATGTGGGGCCATAGGCCTTTAATCCTAGCACTAGGGTGGCAGGAACAAGTGAATCTCTGAGTTGGAGGCCAGCCTGGTCTACAGAGTGAATTCCAGGACAGCCAGGGCTACACAGAGAAGCTGTCTCAAAAAAACAAAAACAGCCGGGCGTTGGTGGCGCACGCCTTTACTCCCAGCACTCGGGAGGCAGAGGCAGGCGGATCTCTGTGAGCTCGAGGCCAGCCTGGTCTACAGAGCAAGTTCCAGGACAGCCTCCAAAACAATACAGAGAAACCCTGTGTTGAAAAACCAAAATAAATAAATGAAAGGAGGAGGAGGAGCTCTTGATTTTTGACTGTGAACAAGGAGGACTCAGCACTGGAGAGAGCTCTGCAGTGTATCGGCCCTGTGGGTATTCTTGTGTGGCCTAGGGTATACGTGATATTAACCTCCCCGGATGTGTGCGGTGTTGCCCTAGATATGTAGAAGAGGTCTCTTCTGTTTGTTTTTTTGAGACAGGGTTTCTTTGCATAGCCTTGTCTGTTCTAGAATTGGCTTGTAGGCCAGGCTGGCCTTGAACTAATAGAGATCCTCCTGCCTCACCAAGTACTGGGGATTAAATTCGTGCACCACCACCTCCCGGCTGAGCTCTGGCCTCTTAAGAGTAACAGTCCACAAATTCAGAAGGCATGGCTGCCAACTCTGGCACTTGCTTCATAGGAAAGGAACAAGAGATGAACCCAGGTCCAGATACCAAAGGGGCCCATCCCTCCCTGTTACTTTCCTTGACTTCGCTGTGTTTAAGCCATCGCAGCGCACTGCAGCGCGTCTGTGGCCCTGTCTTTCTTCATATTCGAGCGGTGGGAATGTACCACATACTGGTACATCTTTGCTTTCTGCAGGTGCCGTAGCACCCGGTGTTTTAGAGCAGGGGTGGGGGTGGAAAGTCTATCCCAAATCTGGAGACCCCCCCCACACCTACACCTTTCTTGCCCCTGTGAAATCAGTATTGTCTAGAAGTTTCACAGGATTTGGAAGTTTGGGTATGTGGGTTGGAAGGAGCCCTGAACCCACCCCCTACATTTCACAGCGCCTTCCCAGCTGTCACTGAAACGACATTATTCATCGCTGTCTTCGGACTGAAAAAGAAACCTTTCTGATCACGACTCGGGCGTAGGGACCAAGGCTGGAAAAGTGATGAGCTTCCTCCCGTCGGTGGGAGAAGAAAGGCTTCAGTTTTCTCTCTCCCTGCCCTTGTGTCCCTCCCAACTACTTCTAAGCAGAGGATGGCAGTGTTGGGATAAGATCTCTCAAATCTTGGGTTATAATCTTATTAGAGCATTGTTAATAAAATGCATTTTATAATAAAAACTACGCTGAAGCCGGGCGTTGGTGGCGCACGCCTTTACTCCCAGCACTCGGGAGGCAGAGGCAGGCGGATCTCTGTGAGTTCGAGGCCAGCCTGGTCTACAGAGCTAGTTCCAGGACAGCCTCCAAAGCCACAGAGAAACCCTGTCTTGAAAAACCAAAAAAATAAAAATAAAAATAAATACTACGCAGATACTGTTTTTCAGAGGACGTCTGGGTGGGCCAAGAAGCTGGTGTAAATAAAGGCTTTTATTCTAGTCTTACTGTACATGAGGTGATCCTTCTATTTGGATTTTTACGGTACAAGAGAGACGGAAGTAAGTGGGCGGAGATATGTAAATAAGCACCGCACTTAGGCTTTCTAGTTTGCCGTATGTGAGCGAAGCATTCTGGGAGGATTGTATTCCTTCCTTTTTGGCGCCGAATGGAAAATAATTTATATTAAGTAATTTGCAAACAGATATTACTCTAGGGTTTCAAGAACCCTGAATCGTTCGGTTTGTGCTAAAAAACTGTCACATTCTCACCCTTGCTTTAACCGGAAATGTTTCTACCTAATGATGAATGGGCCAGTTGGGCTCTTTATCGTCAGGAGGTTAATCCTTACCTGTTCCTCCTTTTGGAGGGCAGATAGAAAATGATGATTGGAGCTTGCATGATTTGCTGATTAGCACTTCCGTGTAATCAGGACCTGACAACATCCTGATTGCTCCTCTCTGATTCTCTGACGATCACACTTATTTGTGCGTGCAAACTGACAGACTTCAGGAAACCTCAGGAAAATGTTTTTCCTTAGCTTGGCTGTACTGTATCTCAGTAACTGTTTTACTTGGCTGAGTTACTTGTCAGTAGCTATTCTGCTCGCAAACTTTCTATCTGCAGCAGGAAGTGGTTCTCCCAAGCTGGTTCCATGGTTGATGGGTGTTTAGGTGCGTACCGCCCCTACCCCCATTCGTGCTTTCCAAGGAGATGTTTCCTGATGACGCTGTAAACACAACCTAACCCTTACCATAGGCGAAACACTGTTAATAAGATGAGATATGACCCGTACTCAGCTTTGGGAATACAGAGGCAGGAAAGAAACTCTACCAGTACTCCCAGAACTGTTAATTTTGTACATTGTGGTACCTGCTGCCACCGAAAAGTTTTGGCTGGGCGGTGGTGGCACACGCCTTTAGTGCCAGCACTCGGGAGGCAGGCAGATCTCTGTGGTTTCGAGACCAACCTGGTCTACAAGAGTTAGTTCCAGGACAGCCCCAAAGCCACCGAGAAACCCTGTCTCAAAAAGCCAAAAAAAAATTGTTTCTTAGCAACGCTTAAAGTTATAATTTGAGAGTTACCAAAATACTATATGCCTCAGGTATTGCTAAGAAACAACTCTGAGACGTCTATACCCTTGCATATGTCATACTGAGCATGGGAAATTTTTGCTTTTTCAGGAACTTTGCTAACATGTTGCCAAATAAAACTATTATTTAAATTTAAATTTAAACAGTGAGAACTTGCAATTAAGTAGGTTATATTTACGCTGGAGGTAAGTGCATACTTGCTATGCTTGAGACCCTGGGTTGACATCCTCAGCATCAAAAACTTAAAGTAGCTAGGAATGGCGATGCACGCCCACAGTCCCAGCACTCAGTATGCAGTCAGGAGCACTGCGAGGTAAAGGTCAGCCTGGTCTGCATAGTGTGTTTCCAGCCACAGGACCTTGCTGCTCCTTGTAAGGATGGACAAGTTGGCCGAGCTCTGGGAGGTCAATGCTCGTTTCCTCCAGTATCAACACCATGGAGAGAGAGGGTGGTGGTTCTGCAGCTCAGGATGGAAGCAGAGCCCAACCTGAGAAGGTTCCCCAGGCAGCTGCAGGCTTGAAACAGTTCTGTCTGCCGAGTGCTCAGCGTTATCCTCTGCTCCTTTTTGTACAAGTCTTTCAAAGGTTTCTCAAAGCACTTTTATGAAGCAGTGGGTTTAAGAAAACTAAATGTGAAGCCTGTACAAAGCTTCCTGTAACACGTGTGCTATGAAACACATCCCTGCTTGTCAGTCAACTCATCACATCCAGCTCTCTGAGTTTGGATGGATTTGCTTCACAAGGCAATAACTACTTTACATACCCTGGCTGTAGTGTTTTATAAATGCTTACATCAGCAGCATGCATACAAAACTGGAAGTAGACAAGATTAACATGGCCCTGTGCAAGAATGACACACACACCTCTGAAGCAGTCTATGTTTTTGGTGATGGTTTCTTGTAATTTTAAGAGACTACATAGGGGAGGGAGATGGCAAAACTTGTATAAATTAAAAATATCGCCATTAAACATGAGCTGCACCCCCAAAATTTAAATAAAAATTAAAAAGAGGTAATAAGCCAGGCATTGGTGGGGCATGCCTTTACTCCCAGCACTCAGGAGGCAGAAGCAGGCAGATATTTGTGAGTTCGAGGCCAGCCTGGTCAACAGGAGTTCCAGGACAGCCTCCAAAACAATACAAAGAAACCCTGTCTCGAAAAACAAAAAAACAAACAAACAAAAAAGAGGTAATAGAAGCCTGGCATGCTGGTATACATCTTGATGCCAACATCGTCCTTTTCTCAAAAAAGGGAAAAAAGGGGGGTGGGGGCAGAGTCAGAGGTAACATTAGTGAAGATTATTCATGAGTGTTAGCATTGCTATGGTGTCACCAGTCCATCAGATAAATGGTGGTGAGCACTGTCTCTTTGCTGACTACTGCGGCTCCTCTTCCTCCTCTGTGCCAAGCTGAGGGTTAAACTCAGGGCTTCATAGCATTCCCAGTGGCGGCGGCACCTGCACGACTGCTACTTCTTCACTACATTTTATTAGTATGCTTGATGTGTGTGGCCACACACCCACCAGGCTGAGGAGCAGATGCCTTCAGACAGCTGTGAGCTGCCATGTGGGTGCTGGGAATTGAACTTGGGTCCTCTTAACCACTGAGCCATCTAGGGTAGCACATGCCTTTATCCTCTGCTCTTAACTCCAATACCTCGCTTATTTATTCATTTACTTTTAAGACAGGGTCTCAAGTGTTCCACACCTGGAACTTGCTGTGTAGCTGAGGATGGCCTTGAACGTCTGTCTGATCCTCTTGTCTCTTATCTTGCAAGTGCTGGGATTACAGGAAGGATTGCTCATCCATGCTCAGTTTTTGTGGCCTTGGAGATGAAACTTCAGGTCATGTGCATGCTAGGTAAGCATTCTCCCAACTGAGTGTATCTTTAGCCCCTACTCCTAGCCTCCTCTCTAGTCCTTAAATACCAACTAGGAGCTTCTGGTTTTTCTGTAACAGTGGAGCAGCAGTTCTGAACCAGATGTTTCCCCATCACCAAAAGTCATCCACCTTCCTCTGCCTCAGTTCCTCATCTATGCTTAGAAGTCAGCACCAGAGGACTTACCGATTAACATCAGAAACAGATTTTCGTTTTTCTGTGATGTTAGTAGCTTTCTAGACCTTTTGGAATGCCCCGTTCTTAGTCTTTATGCTCAGTAAGAGGCTGACAGTCATCCCCTCCTAATCCTCTTTTTGCTTCAGGGATAACCCAGTGGCATAAACCTGGCCAAGAACAGTATCCCATATGCCTTGATCCAGTGATTAATTCAACGCTCGGCAGGCAGATCTCTGTGAGTTCAAGGCCAGACTGGGCTACAAATTGGGTTCCAGAACAACCAAGACAGTTATACAGAGAAACCCTGTGTCAAAAAACAAAGCAAAGAGCTGGGCGTTGGTGACACATGCCTTTAATCCCAGCACTTGGGAGACAGAGGCAGGTGGATCTCTGTGAGTTCGAGGCCAGCCTCGTCTACAGAGTAAGTTCCAGGACAGGCTCCAGAACAATACAGAGAAATCCTGTCTTGAAAAACAAAACAAACAAACAAAAAACAAAGCAAAGAAAAATACACCAAGTTGGGATTGCCACACCCACTCCAGTGGTGTCTGCATTACAAGCCTAAAAACTTGGTCGCAGGCCTGAAGCAAAAGTTTCTTGGAAACTGGTCTCCTGGAGGTTCCTGGTGTCCCATATCAAGGATGTGTTCCAGATTTGTTCTAGCAATAACCAGTGTTATTAATTTGGTTAATTTCTTTTGTAGGAATAAGTATGCCTCAAGGGTCCAATCTGATTGAAGGTCCAGTAAAATTGGATGTTCCTCCTCTGGCCACCACTGATATTCCAACTTGCTTGCCAGAAACAGAACTAACAAAATCAGGGGCCGATGGTGGGCTCCTCCAGTAAATAGGGAATTTCTCCAAATGTTTAGGACAATAGCTGCTCTCCTTTCTTATACTGGAATTTGTGATGAAGAAGATAATAGGAGGAGAACATGTGCTGTACTACACCCTGAATTTCATGGAAAGGCTTGCTAGAGCCAGACCCCCTTGGTGTCTATTATACGAGGCATAGCAAAATAGTATAACCAGAAGTTAGAGAAGGCAGGCCAATGGTGGGTTTAGCACTGGACCAAGAATTGGTCCTTATGACCATAAGACAGGTGAAGTAATTCTAAGAATAGGCTCATCTCAGACAGAGCTGATGTTATCATGTTGTAACACACTGTCTGGCTACTGCCAGTTCTTATGTATTTGATTTTCTATTTTGAATTTCTAGTCTCATGATGTGCCTTATGTGCCAATTTTGCTGACTTCTTTTTTTTTTTTTTTTGGTTTTATGAGACAGGGTTTCTCTGTATTGTTTTGGAGACTGTCGGTCCAGCCTGGCCTCGAACTCACAGAGATCCACCTGCCTCTGCCTCCCGAATGCTGGAATTAAAGGCGTGCGCCACCACCGCCTGGCTTTTTGCTGACTTCTTTGTACCTTGACATATGTACAAAATTAACTTCCTTCTTTCCTCATGTAATGATTATATAAGTCTGATGCATGCTTTGAGAAATTACACTCAGATTCAGCACTTTCCTGTGTTCGTGTCTGTCATTCGCCAACTCTTTGCCCAACTGAGTACTGGATCCCTGATTCTCCCCAGGTTGAGGGGCTCCAACTGGGTCTGCCTGTGGCAGGGTATCACACATGTATATGTTTTATTTTTATTTATGTGTGCAAGTGTATGTAGAATCACCCATAAAAGCTGTACACCTCTCTCTCTCTCTCTCTCTCTCTCTCTCTCTCTCTCTCTCTCTCTCTCTCTCTCTCTGTCTGTGTGTGTGTGTGTGTGTGTGTTTCCAAAAGAACTGAAAACAGAAAACAGATACGTATACACTGACAATCACAGCAGCATCATTTGTGAAAACCAAAGGAGAAACATCCCAAGTGTTCAGTGGCAGATGATGGGTCAACAGGTTGTGGTCCATATGTACAGTGGGGGTATTATTCCACTTACAAAGGGATGTCTGTGAGAGAGATGGAGAATGAACAATGAATACAGGGTTAGCAGGACAAGAAGAACTTCAGTGCTCCAGGGCACAAGAGAAGAGCTATGGTGGCTATGATTTTTGTTTATTTGTTTTCCATTATTCTAAGTTGAGACTGGAGAGATGGCTCAGTGGTTAAAAGCACTGACTGCTTTTTACAGAGGACCTGAGTTTGGTTGGGGTTCACAACTATCCACAACTCCAGTTCTAATGGATCTATTGCCCTCTCCTAGCCTCCACAGGAACACACATTGTGTACATACATACATACATACATACATACATACATACATACATACATTACTCATACTTGTTTTGGTTTTTCAAGACAGGGTTTCTCTGTAG